ACAGGCAGTGCCAGGCTGGGCTCTCCCAGTGATGTTTTTCCCCTTCCCAGGCTCAGACCCCGCTGCTGAGGAGAAGCAGAGCTCAGACAGCCCAGAGCAGCTCTGCCAGCCCAGCTGAGACACCTTTGCCCCTTGTGCAAGTGTTTTGCAAGAGAAGGAAGCTGGTTTCACTGCCTCCACTCGTTCAGCTCTGTCCTTCTCCTCAAACTCCCCTGGCAAGTCCAGCAGGCCAAAACCCACCCCCACAGATGGTTCAGCTGCTTTGGGTGAAGTTCTCCTTCCAGCTGGACTGACCTCGTTATCTTTGGTGCTGCTGGGTTCTCCTCAGTTTGCTGCTGGTCCTGTTTGYACCCCAGAGGGCCAGAACAGGGAAGGGACCTGGGAAAGAGCAGGGAATGCAGAGGATGTGCAGGAACTGGAGCAACCACAGGGGTACAAAGCTGTCTGACGTGCCCTCAACACTGASTGAGGGACCTTGGGTGCAGCTGTCTCAATCCATGTTTGACACCAAGCTGAAGCTCTGAGGAGCTGATTTTCCTTRTTTTTAATGCTGAGCCTGGCACTGGGGGAAGGAGAGCACTGGCCAGGACACCCAGAGCGTGCCTGGGGCTCAGAGCTGTGAGCAAGGAGCTCAGTCCTGGTTRACAAAGCAGCCTGGGGGGAAGTGGAGGTGAGAAAGGCAAGTGGAGAGGGCAGAGAGGTCACAGCAGATCTGTCAGAGCTGCAGGGACAAGTGCAGAAATGCTTCCTCCTCCTGCAGCTGCTCCATCAGGACACCTCCCCAGGGACACAACTGTGTTAACCCTGGCACTGGTGTGCCAGGAGAGACTTCTCACAGCTCTACAACCTCTGGTGTCCTCCATCCAAACTGGAATGAAGGCTGGAGACTCTGGATGGCCCCACATGCTCTGTCTGTGCCTCTGGAGAGACTCAGAGCAGCCAGGTACAGGCTGTGGCACAGCCCTGCTGCTGGGGACACCCAAACACACCTCTGAGACAGTCCCGGTGTGAGGAGGGCTCAAAGAGTGGCACAGCCCTGCTGCTGGGGACACCCAAACACACCTCTGAGACAGTCCCGGTGTGAGGAGGGCTCAAAGAGCATTTAGAGCAGCTAGAAACTCCTTGATATGCACCCACAGGCAAAATCGGGGTGTTCTGCACCCTCAAATGGCTGAATTATGCTGAAAATAGGAATTCAGAAGTAAATAAAAAACTAAGAAAAATAATAACCCCATCCCAGCTGAATCCAGGACAGGAATTAACAAGATTTTTCATGTCACTTTGTTTTCTGGGCTAGATGCAGCTCTTCCAAAGTCAAAGGCAGACATTCATTCAAGGAGGTGAATAAGGAGATCCTCTTTACAGGGAAAGTTGCAGACCAAATCCCCCAGCATGCACAACCCACCAGATTAACACAAAGGCAGAGCCTGGATCTTGCAGCAGCTCAGCTAGAAACGTCTCTTGGAGAGGGACAACTCAGTTTTYTGCCGTGCAGCATCTGCTCCAGCCTTTGTCAGACACTCGTTCCAATGTCCATCTTCCCTCCAGCCACCTGCACCACATCCCATCCATTGCTCCCAATCATTTTCCAGCAGATCCAGYGCCCCCAGCACCAAGAATGGGGTGTTCTGCCAGTGAGCAGCTGCTCTGGAGCACTCAGAAGTGTGAGGGTTAGGGTTAGGGTTATGGGACAACGCCTTCAGCTGTCCCATCCCCACCTCCTGTTACCCTGTAAGCTCACCGGGCTCTGAGCTCCTCTGATCCCTCACAAAGCCCCCAGATTGCTCCAGCTCATTTGAATTCTGTGTAAACATCCTCTCCCCAGGCAGCTTTGGAGGGAGTGCAGTGTTTGTTCGTGCTATAGGTGTCACACCCCGGTTTTGAGGACAAACCGTCACCTCCAAGTGCAGGCAGGGAGCGATTCCAGCTGCCTGTGAGCCAGCCCGGGAGGGATTTCAGGGCTGCCAGGGCTGCACCACCCTCTAGTGCACACCCACAGCAGTGCCTGTGCTCTCAGCATCCCGCGGGGGCACTCTGCTGGGAGATTGGGAAAAGGAATTCCCTGATCCAGCATTCCCTGGAGCGGTGCCGGGACCCGCAGCTGCAGGAACAGAAGCGAGAGAACTCCTCGGAGTGRGAACCCCAGAGCAGAACCAGAGGTGTCCTGGGCCTGGCACGGGGAAAAGCCACTGTCCTGCACACCAGATCCTGCAGATCCTGCAGATCCCACAGATCCTGCACCCTGCACCCCATATCCCTGCATACCCAGAATCCAGATCCTGCACATCCTGCAGATCCTGCACCTCACACCCCTGGAATCCCAGATCCCTGATATTCCAAACCCTGCACCCCAAAGTTCTGCATCCCTGGAATCCCAGATCCTGTATATCCACATTCCTGGATTCTGGATCCCTGGCATTCCAGATCCTGCACCCCAGATCCCACACATCCAGCACCCTGCACCTCACACCCTTGGATCCCTGGAATCCCAGACTCTGCATACGCAGCACCCTGCACCCCATATCCCTGGACCTGGATCCTTGGCACTCCAGACCCTGCACATTCAGCACCCTGTACCCCATATCACTGCATCCCTGGAATCCCAGACCCTGCACATCCAGCACCCTGTACC